GAGGGGAAAAAGTAACATTGATAGCCTCTGCTTATAAGTTAGGGCAGAATTGGAGTTGCTTAGATAATTACTAGTATTTATGGTGGTCTGTATTCATGAAACACTAATTTGGAAATTGCCACATGTATGAATTATGATTTTATGAACTCATTTAGGCTTACCATTATTATTACTAACCGTTTATGTTATGTATCATCATTGTTAAGTATTTTTTACTTAAAGAATACCTGGTGATATGGTTAATATGATGCAGCAAGAATTGTCTACATATTTGCTAAATAGAATGTAATTTATGTCCAGAACATTTGGACATAGATTTTAACTCTTATTAATCAGAACTAATCATTAAACAGATTATCAAACATGAGGAAAAGGAACACCTTGCCAAACACGATGTCTTTTTGAGAAAGTTCAAGTACAGCCAAGCCCTAGATTCTGTATTGACGTCCTATGTAACAGGCAAGACTCCAAATGTCACTGTTGGAGTTCTGCGTGAGTTGATAAGGTAAGGTTTAATGGTCTTCAACCGTGATAACTTTTTAGCTTCACGTTGGAGATTGGTTTTATATATTTATTTATGTCTTTGGAGTTGCAGAAGATGAGAGCTCCACTGTATGGGATTTTTTTTTTTATATCAGTATTCATAGTTTACTTACCAAACTATTATCAATAGTAACTTGTGATGCATTCAATTACTCAGGTTTTGGGCATAATCAGGTTTTTTATTATTTTTAGTTATGCATATTGTCTATTTTTATGCAAATATATAGTTTCTACATCATTGTACTTGTGAAATATAGTAGATAACAATCTTAAGTAAGTATCCTAGTCTTGTTGCTATTTTTATCCTGCTCTGATGACATGATGTGGGATGAATTAAACTCTTGTGGCAAGTTATGAATGCTATGTTTATTTCTCTTAACAGCAGGATTATTCATAAACATTTGACAACAAGTATCTTACATGATAAAATGATTTGCAAGATGCATAGGGGTTCTTGTGATTCTTGTGTATTCCATGTTAGTAGTTGTTCAGTAATATAGATTAATAGGAACTGGTCATGTAAAAACTGCATGACAGTAATGAATATATGATGCTGTTATTGATTTATAATTTTGTTTATAATGTCCTCAATATTTCCAGAATTAAAATATTAGAATATTATTTGGGATGACTAACCATCCTTCTGCATCCTATAAGATTAGCTTTAATTTTGTTTGCTTTAACCATTTTAATGATATTGTTATTTGATGAATATCAGTCTTATCCTTAGCTTAAACTTCCAATTTCTTAAATATCTTTTATATATTTATTTCTTAGAATTTGAAGCAGAGATTTTTCTTTCCTTTTTTCTTTGAGTTCTACTAAACCCATTTTTATATGTATGTTACTTAGGTAGGATAGAAGAAAATCTAAAGACAGGTTAAAGATAATCTCCATTTTTTCTTTAGACGAGACGGACTCAAGACAGCGATAGCAGGAAGAGAGGTGAAACAGTTGACTCCGCTGCTGAATTTTGTGATCAGATTTGTTCGGAATCCGTTGTACAAGCAACTACTAATTGATGTCTCCAATGTGATTATAGGTATGGAAAACGGACCTGAGATTATTTTTACTATTATTGTTGCTGTTGTTGTTGTCCTTATTGTCATGATTATTGATATTGTTAATATTATTATTACTGTTACTAGTATTATTATTATTTTTTATTATCATTATCATTATTATCATTATTTATTATTATTATTATTATTATTATTATTATTATTATTATTATTATTATTATTATTATTATTATTATTATTGTTATTATTATTGTTATTGTTATTGTTATATTATTATTATTATTATTATTATTATTATTATTATTATTATTATTATTATTATTATTATTTATTATTATTATTATTATTATTATTATTATTATTATTATTATTATTATTGTTATTATTATTATTATTATTATTATTATTATTATTTATTTATTATTATTATTATTATTATTTATTGTTATTGTTATTGTTATTGCTATTGTTATTGTTATTTTGATTATTACTATTGTTATTGTTATTGTTATTGTTATTGTTATTGTTATTATATATGCATCATGATGTATGTATCATCATCATTATCATTATCATCATCATCATCATCATCATCATCATCATCATCATTCATCGGTATCATTATCATTATTGTGTTGTTGTTGTTATTTAGCTATTTTATTTATTTTTTTTTTTCTATTTATTTATTTTTTATTATCATTAATATTGTTAATATTATTTCTAGTGTTATTTTGTGTGTGTGTATGTGTGTGCGTGTGCGTGTGCGTGTGCGTGTGGGTGTGCATGTGCGTGTGTGTGTGTGTGTGTGTGAATGTATGTGTAAATGTATATGTTTTATATGTGTGAATGTATGTGTAAATGTATATGTTTTATATGTGTGTATGGATGTATTTGTGTGTTTTTATGTATGTATATAGATATATAGAAAATAAATCTTTTTTTTTTTTTTTAGGATTATGTCTTCTCAGATGCTAGATATAATTATTTCTGTGTATGTAGGATCTTATGATAAGTAAGCAATTACTGATTTCCTTTCTTGTGTCTTCTAACCTGTACAGATTTATACAGTGACAGTCTCTATGAAAATCCAACATTAGTGAGGCAGTTCAGGAGACTGCAAGATGAGGTGAGTGATTTTAAAGTTTCTCTTCAATGCACAAGTGGCATCATCAGGAATTAATTGATTGTCTTATCATTACTTTTAGTGTGTAAGTTATTATTAAGGGAAGGGATCAGTTGCCTTGAATATTCCTTTTCGTGTGTGAGCCAGGTATGTGGAGGATGATTCAGTGGCCTTGAATAATCTTTTTAGTGTGTGAGTATTTATGTAAGGAATGAATCGGTTACCTTGGATATTCTTAATGCATAGGTGATTATCCAAAGAATGAATAAATTTTGATTTTTTTTCTTTTTTCTTTGAGGAAAGACTACTTGCAATAGCATGTAGTATTTCTGACTCTAATGTAATAAGCTATAATCTATTGTTGCTACATATTGTCCATAGATGATGATGGTAATAAATGTAACTGTAAAATAGCCAATACTAGCCCTCTAAATAACACCACCAGGATCCCCACCCCTTTATTGTTGCCTCCCCCCCCCCCTTATCTGCTCCCCTTCCCTTCTCCCCTTTCCTTTCTCTGTCCTTGTCTCTCTTTTGATTCAAAAATGTGTCCTGTGTCATCTTTGCGTGATGTGTAGAAATATATGCCAGACTCTGAATGCAGTTGAACTTTTGCTCTTGATAATGCTTTTTGATGTTCTGAACTCTTATGTATTTGTGGATTTTTTAGCAGATATCTTGCTCTATTTTGTTGACATGCTCTGATGTAAGGGTATGTTGACAACTAAATATGCGCCATGATTATTATCTTATTGTAGCTTATATTGTTTGATCGTAAATGTGGTGCTACCTTTTTGTTCACTCAAATTATAAGAATGGAAAATATAATATACATTTATACATATATATATAGGTATATATTTATTTATTTATTTATTTATTTATTTATTTATTTATTTATTTACATGTGTATTTGTATACATACACATATCAATAGAAATCTCTTTGTATGTGTGTGCATGTGTGCATGTGAGGAAAAATGCATTAGCACGGGAAACAATGATGGGTATCTAACCATGAAAGAGGGAACCTATGTAGTCCATTAGGTTGATTTTTTTTTAAATTTGGCTCCTCTCTTTTCAGATTGATGCTGAACTCCGCATCAGCAGAGAATATATTGGGCTCATGGGTGCTATTGAGATGTTCCTTTCGGCATCAGAACCTGAGAGAGCACCTTCGACCATTAATCCACAGCACTTGGCTTCAACGTCAATGTATGAAAATGAAAGTAGTGCCAGCCTCCTCCGATCATCAGCTAAGAAATCAGCTGCTGCGGTTGTTGTGGATGTTGTGTAAAGAATAAAGTAGTCTATTTTGCTCCATTGCGTTTTAGATTCTCTCATCCTGTTTATTAAGTAAAGTAAAAGATAAACATTTAGTTTTGATTAAGCTATGAGACTTGTGATATCATCTGTGTGACAATAAATTCAAAGAATAGTCCTGATGTAATTGATCATAATTTCACACTGAAGTTAAGAAAAGCAATTCTTTAGACCTAAGTGTCTTATTGGGCATTGACTAAGGATATTGCTGACACAGAAAAATTAGAGTCTGGAAACACTGTTGAGTGTTACAAGCATGAGTGATTATCGCTCAACTGTAAATGACCTCCGTTGTTATAGCATGAAAAAAAGATGGAGGTGCAACCTACAGTGAAGGTAAATTTTTGTAGGTCATGGAGGATAGGGTGGCAGAGAAAAGTCAAGGTAAGTTTAGGTTACAATTTATGAAAATAGTCTTGGAACTCCTATTCAAGAGATGTGGAGGGTGCATAATTACTGTTATGTACTGCTATGGGTAGACAAAATTTGGAATATTTTGGTAAGGTAATAGAGCTAGTCTTGGTCTTCCTCATTTGAAATGTGCCCTTTCTTTGTAACAGTTTTAGAAAAAATATTTTTATATACAGCAAACAACTACAGTAATGTTTCCATAGCTTTTCACCCTGGAGGACCCATTTCATCAAATGATTTTCCAATGGATCCATTTTCTATATTGCTCTGGGGCAATTTGAATTTGGCCCATGAGCCACCAGTTCTACCTCTGAATCCCCAGGGGTCTGGGGTGGGACCACAGGATTATGTGTTGGCTTGTAGATTCCAGCATGAAAATAAGTGATAGTGAGATTACTCTGATGAATTAAATTGATTGGGTCATAAATAAGTTATGGATCAATCTTTTCTTAAAAAAAAGAAAAAAAAAGAATATAGTGCTACATTTTTATTTTATTTTAAATTAACTCCTTTGTATATGGTCAACACTATATGTAGGATAGTGTATTTTACATGAATGGATTCTAAATAAAACCAAAC